TGTATTATTTCTTGTTACTTATTTTGAATCTTTAGCTCCTTATATAGATGGAACAAAAGAGACGTTGGAAGCTTTCTTGCACAAGTGCCTTGCTGAAGAAGCGGTTTCCAAGAGAGAGACATTGGAGTTGGTACATGAGGATCTTCATCTTCTGAGTAATTCCTTTATCTACCGTGTCTTTCTCAAGTGAGGTGTCCATAGGCATGGGGTAGTAGACTGAAGAAATCATATCATTTATCCTTGAGCCTTGTGATAAAACTTTTAGTTGAGTTGCTCCATAATTCTAGTCATTGACAAGATGGAGTTGCTTTTGCAAAGAGTACAAATATAAGAGCTTTGTATTGTGTTTCCAATAGAATGCTTGATGTTCCGTTTGAATCATTAGAGGTAAATTCAATGTAGCAACTAGAGTTCTATTTGAACATCAAAAGCTAAAATTATATAGCGTTGAGGTCTTATTTGAAATTTAGATTTTGTTCGATTAGAATATGGATTTACTTGATTCTTCTTTACAAGCTATTTAACAGGGTCAGAACCTAGTTAATCATAATCTTAATGATCATGCACACTTAACCAAACATTAGTATACCATATTGTTCTTTAAGTACTTTTGTTATCATCAAAATCCAAAAAGTATGAACTCAAAGAGTATGAATATATTTTGTACCAACACCTTGTAGTCTCTAGGTTCTTCATCAAGGACCTCACATGCATAGATTAAAGCAAAGGCTATGAGATCTGCATAACCAGGTCCCTGAGGTAGCTTAATGACTCTTATCAACTTATCCCTAGCTAGCATGTAGTCATTATCAGTTTCCTCATATTCATCAATAACTTCTGCTTCTTCTTCAAATTCATCCGGGTTATGCAATTCAACATCGACATGCTCCACCTCAACAGGAATCTCTTCTTATTTTAGCTCTTCTTCAGATATCTCTTTATTTCCACGAACATCATCAGTTTTCTTGAATTCCATTTCCCCTTCATTGAAAACTACATCTCGATTTATGATACACGTCTTGTGACCTGGCTCTAGACACCATAATCTATTAGCTTTCACTCCTTTAGAGTACCCTATGAACATGCATCTCAGAGCTACAGGTTTGATAGGGTTCCTAATGTGTCAAGATTAGATGGATGTCCCGACCAGACTTCTCCAAGTGTCTTCATCCCCAAGGCATTCGAGGGATATCTATTTATAGATATGTTGTTGTCGAAACACCAGCAGCCATAAACACCTTCTTCAATCCAGCACTAACCAAGATACATCTAACTCTTTCCAAAATGGTTTGATTAAATCTTTCAGCTAAACCATTTTTTTGGGGAGTACCTACAATAGTTTTGTGTGTTGTAATACCATGCATAACATAATAGTTATTGAACGCCTCATTGCAAAATTCAAGACTATTGTTTGTTCTAAACATCTTAACTTTCTTGCCAGTTTGGTTTTCGACCAGAGTCTTCCAACTTTTGAAATTTTCAAAAGTTTCATCCTTAGCTTTCTAAATAAATACCTATAACTTTCTAGAATAATCATCAACTACGGATAGAAAATACCTTGCACCTGAATGTGAATGACACCTTGCAGACCCCCAAATATCAGCATGAATATAATCAAGGGATCCATGTGCTCTTTGTTTAACTTTGTTAAACTTCACCCTACATCATTTACCAAATACATAAGGTTCATAAAACTCCATCTTTTCAACCTTGTTACCCCATAACACATTTTGTTTCGACAATTTGATTAAGCCTCTTTCATTGACATGACCAAGTCTCTTGTGCCATTGCTTAATATTTGACACGGGTTTTATGGATACAACATCTGCTAAACCACTTAAAACCTCAGCCTCGAGGGTATATAAGCCTTGCCTTTTGATGACTTTCAATACTTCATTCGACCCCTTCATTATCCTTAGGATACCTTGCTCTCCTTTGAAAATATATCCTTTCTTGTCGAATTCACCAAGAGAAATCAAATTTCTTTTCAGATCAGGTAAATATCTGACACCAGTCAATAACCTTATTGACTTATCATAGAACTTGAATCTTACAGATCTAATTCCTGTAATTTTATAGGCTTTGTTGTTTCCCAGCATCACTGATCCGCCATATTGATCATATAATTCCTTAAACAAATATCTATTTGGAGTCATGTGCCAAGTGCAACCTGAATCCATAAGTTATTCCTTGCAAGAATTGCTTCTCGAAACTACAATAACATCAGATGATTTAAAACCATCTTGCATAATGGTTGCATTACCATTGTCCTTCACACCATGATTGTTTTGTCGATCAGGGAGCACCTTTCGCATGTGACCCTTCTTCTTATAATGATAACACCTAATTTCAGAAGTATCACCATCATAAGATTTATGCTAACTTTTACCTTTCTTCTTTTCAAACTTACCATCTTTCTTCAAGAATTTCCCCTTAACGATAAACATTTACCAACATGTGATAGTTTATGTTCCTTCCTCTTGTTCAAGTCCCTTGAGTACAAGACATATTGAACTTCTTCAAAGGTCAAGGAATATCTTCCATACAAGAGAGTTTTTTTGAAGTGAACATGAAAACATGGTAAAACACACTATCATACCCCAAATTTGTCCTACCCTTTTATTCAAATCTTATGGCTCATGCTTCTCACGTTCCTCATGTATATACCCCTTTATTAGGTCATCAAAAATTACACGCATTCACTAAAAACAAGGCTTGGTACACTAAATCAATGGTCACGGAGTAGGGCTCTACATAGGCATTAGGGTTTCTTTCTTGTTGCAGGGTTTGGTTTAACTGAAGATGTAAGTCACCCACAAGTATGATTCTCATCTAAGGTCTTCTCCTAACCTCTTGGTTTATACAAGTCATGATCATATGGTTTTTTTTCTCAATAACTAAAGGAAGCCATCTTTCATCAAGTTATAGACCAAAGTTTATGCAAGAGAAGAGGGATGGGTGTTCATCTATCCATCACTCCAATGATTAGGGTTTTTGTGCGCTTTTTAATGAACTTTGGCATGGGATGCAAGTTATTATGAACATGGTGTCCAAACATTGAATGAGGGTTCTACCAAGATTCAAGCATGGAATGGTATTTGGTTTTGAATTCAATTCATCATGAGAGGTTGATATACAAACAAGAGTATTCACAAGTTTTACACAACTATCCTAGTTCGTTCAAACTCCTTCATGATCTAAGTCGTAACACAAGGTTCAAAACGAATTCCAACAATTCCATCATTCTAAGATCATATCCATTGCTAAAAGAAAAGACCAATACTTCAAGACTACTTTGGAAAATACCCTGATTGGATCCATACCATGGTCAAAGATTATGCAAATTAGAAAAGGAAGTTTGCTTTGGAGTAGCTTTATCATTGATGTCAAGTAAAGTTACAAGAGAAAGATCACAAAAGCCATTCAACATCAAGTCATATCATTACAACATCATCATAGTCACCATTACAAAGAAGATCACAAAGAAAGTTTACATGGAAACACCAAAGTCTACTTATCCTAAACCTAAGGATCTAACGATTCCATCTTCCAATCTTCATGGCCATATACATGTTGCTTCAATGATCTTCATGCCCTTATCTCTTGCACCATGCCTAAGCTTTAATACTCCAAAATTTGGCTCATCTTCATTTACAAATACCATGCCAAAGATTTATTGTATCACACTACTACCATGTATTTCATAAAGATGCCATCTTCCATGCTAATCATCAAAACCTGCACATGAACATCAATGTTCATTCAAAACAGCCATGCATTAACACATTAACCATGTCGGCCCGCATATAAAACCAAAACAACTCAACATAAATCCATACAACTTCAGCCATACATATCAATTAAACCAACAATTCAAATTGCAAAAAGTCAAGCTTGCACACATTACCAAAGCGAATTAATACATAAACCAGTCCAAAATCAGTTCATAAATTAAACATCAATAAATCTGATACAAAACAAATATATAAATAACATACACATCAAACCAGTCCATGCAAAATTCATAACCTATTAACACCAATAACATGAGCAGTTCAATATCCAAATCCAAAACAATTTCATAACAGAAAATATAATGGACCAATAGCAGAAAAACAGAAAATTAACACAATACTCTACTAACCGACTCAAGTCCAACTCCAACACTAACTTTTATTACAACATCTCCTAACAGTTTTTTTACTTAGCTAATAACTAACTTCTAACATAATTTCTGAACACCTAACTAACATTCCTCATAACAAACTCATAACTGACCAACTTGCACCTTCAGATTAATGAATTGCACTTGAAAACTTACGACGTGGTGTTTAATTTAACTTTTTTAAAATATAGGGTTTTAGTGTTTCGTGTTAGATTTAGGAGGTTTGAGATAAAATCAATGAAAAAGAATGACGAATTCAAAACCAAGGAAAGAAAATGAAGCAATTGGAGTTTTAATTTTGTTGTTTTGGTGTGTCACCGTCGTAGCCGCTCAGTAGGCGTGCCGACGCGACGGCCTCACGGTTTTTGTTATTTGAAGAACGAAGCAAAGAATGAGAGGGAACGAAGCTTCACTCGAAATAAGCTGACCAATCACAATCCCTAAAAGCGAAGCTACGTCGTTTCATTGCGTTTCACTTTATTTCGATTTCTTTCTTTAATTTTATTTTATTGTTCTGCATTTTGATTAATCTGAACTAGTGTTGCCATGCGTTTGGGCCACCCATCGAACAAGCCCAACGAATTTCTTTCCATACCCCTCCAAGATCCATCACCATCTCTATTTTGGTCTTTTTTTTTTCAATAGTTAGTCTTCTGGACTCAGAGGCAGGCGCGTTGGGCCTATAGCAACTTAATCCCTATGAGAAATGAGGTTTGATATTAGTAGTCCGTTAAGACTTAAGACCTAGCCCATATTTAAGTGTTAAACGACGTGGTATATTTGAATACATCATCTCCACAAACGGGTTTAACGTTGAGCCTTATCGTTGTTTACAATGGCAGCATCCCAAACTTGTTCTCCATTTCTCAAATCGGCTAACCCATTTCCAATGGCAACAGTTTCTTCCTTCACTGTCTCCTCCAAAACCCTAACCCTAACCCTACCTAACCACCCCAAAACCTCATCCCTCAATTTCAACAACCTCTCTATCCGTGCCAAAACCCGTACCAGAAACGCTATCCAGATTCGTGCGGCGGTTGATGAAGATTACTCTTCCAAGAGAAGCGGAAGCAATGAGCCGAAAGAGACGATTATGCTTCCTGGCTGTGATTACAATCATTGGCTCATTGTAATGGAGTTTCCTAAAGACCCTAAACCCTCTCGGGAGCAAATGATTGATACTTATCTTCAAACTCTTGCATCTGTCTTGGGAAGGTTCGTTTTCTGCCGTTGCTTATCTTTCATAATTTCAAATCTTGTTTATTCATGTCTACGATTTTCTGTTGAATGAAAGTTTTTGACTTGTTTGTACTAGATCAAATGAAAAATAATTCAATAATTAGGGCTAAACCATCAAGAAAGATTTAGAGTTTAACAACCTATTATTAGATATGATTCATATTAGGGCATTGTGACTCATCTTATCATCTTGTTGAATAAAATTAGGTTATTATTGTAAAATATGTCATTGGTGGATTACAGTGGTAATCATGGATTCTATTTTGGGGGAGACATGTATGTGGAATAATATGGTAATGATGGATTATCAGACAGCCTTTGTAATTATGAATACAAAACTAATAGACGTGTTGGTGGTTGTGTATCAGCATGGAAGAAGCAAAGAAGAACATGTATGCCTTTAGCACCACAACTTACACTGGATTTCAATGCACTGTTGATGAAGCAACCTCCGAGGAATTCAAGGGTAATGTTTCTTATTGAAATATATCTTGATAATTTTTTATTTGCTACTTGACTAATTATTGCCATTCATCTCTTATTTGTGCTTGTCCTGCTTATAGGTTTACCTGGTGTTCTCTGGGTCCTGCCAGATTCATACATAGATGTTAAAAATAAAGACTATGGAGGTTACTTTATCAGTTTAACCTATTTTACCATTTGTATATTGTTCTTCCTCTTGGCACTAAATATGTATGCTTTTTAATTTTAGGTGACAAGTACATAAACGGGGAAATCATTCCTTGCAAGTACCCTACTTATCAACCAAAACGTAGTGGTGGATCAAAGAGTGAGGGTAGAAGGTATGAAAGACGGAGGGATGGCCCTCCTGCTGCTGGGCGTCAAAAGCCAGGACAAGAGGCAGCCACCTCAGATTCATCCTCTGCATGAGGTGGTCAATTCCATTCTCTGTTTCACTCTGGATGTTACTGATCTTCTCTTTTCTGATTTGTTATGTGGTTACTATACGAGGTATCAAAGATTCATGGCTTCTCCTCAAGGGAGAATTAGGATTTTTTTTTTCCTAATGAGGGATGAGAGTGGGTTTCCTAGGAGATGGAAATTCATTCGCCGGGTTTAATCAAATTGTTAATCTTTTCTCAATTATTGTGTGAAGTTTCATTAGTTTTTCCTATGCAATTTGTTAATCATATCTTTCTCCAAAGGGATTTAAAATGTGTTTCCTTGGAGATGGAAGTTCATTTGTGAGGTTTTATCAATTTGTTAATTCTTCCTGAATTGTTGTGTGAAGTTTTAGTAATTTTTTCCCATGCATTTTGTGAATCACATCATATCTTATTAAAAATGCATTTCCTTGGAGATGGAAGTTCATTCGATGGGTTTTATCAATTAGTCAATTCTTCCTGAATTGTTGTGTGAAGTTTCAGTAGTTTTTCCCATGCATTTTGTGAATCACATCATATCTTATTAAACTTTACGAGTTTTTATTTACTTTTGGGTTGCAGCCTGCAGGTGGATTTCAATTTTGTTGAGAGTGATTCCAAAACAAAGAGGATTGCTACTCCTTATCAAGGCTTTGTCATGCTCATATAACAACTAGAAGCTTAAACCTATGTTGGATTCTCATTCAGATACCTATGTTGGATCTCTTCATTCAGTGCCTATGTTGGATTCTCATTCAGATGCATAGTATATATAGTTTAGAGCACAATCAAATGGTCAATTAAGAAATTATCTTGAGGAATGTGTGCTTTTTATACTCTGTCTATGAGATGTAAGACTAATGTTAGGGTAGTTTGTTTGTATAATTTGGAGTTACTTATCACTCAACCAGTTTGTGCTTTCGTGATAAGTATAAAGTTACTGATAGGTATGCAACAGTTATCCGATGACGTGCATATTTATTTTTGACACTGCCAAATTAGTAAAGCTTTAGGTTGATCGTGGTGCATAATTGCATTAGACATGACAAGTGGCCAGTGGGCGGGTCTGGATCATGTGCAATCACAGTAGGGATACTGTCTGATCAAGATGGTCCCGAAAGTTAAAATCTGCGTTAAGATCTAGACCGTGCGATCATCAGATGACAGTGAATATGCATGTGTGACTGCATTGCTACCTGCCTCATATTCATATACGGGAGAGGACATCTCATTCTCTCAATTTTTTTCAAGTGAAGTTTTAATGGATTTGATAATATGAAGAATTTAGAAAAATGTTAAAAAGGTGAAGAGAAAATTATATTTCATCAAAAACACTTGAAAAGATTGAAGATTCTTTTTATGTCACAATCAGACCAGTATGTTAAACGACAAGGATTAGTTCTGCAGTATCCATCAGTTTTTGAAAAAAATATTCTAACTTCAACTTTAAACAAATGCAACAATGGCCAATTTGCCATCCATGGTCCTTGCTTTGCAGGTTATAATTGACATGTCCAACTAGTCCTACACGTCTCAAACTCGAAACTTTACTTTTGTTTTCTTTTTGGAAATCCATTTTGAACTGTTTTATTTATTACAAATATACTGAACTCAAAGTGATAATATTTAAGTGCTTTCATTTTCAACATAGGCACTGAGTGAAGAGATCCCTATAATTGTGATCAATGCTTGTTCATGTTTCATATAATTGTGATCAATGCTTGTTCATGTTTCATATAATTGTGATCAAGATAATCTTAAAAGCCATGGGTGACTTTTTATTTACGTTATGCCTCAATGCTTGGCTAGTGATAGATAGTGTTGACACATGTTATAAAATTGGTTCCTGTGGCACCCCATTTATTTCATTGTTAAATATTTCTACATAAATTTCCTCTTTCCTTTCACTACATGTGGACATTTTGCATAGATAAGAGTTCTACGGTGGGTAGGTGAGATAGTACTAATCGACTTAATAGCTTTAAATGTGAAGGAAAAAGCATAGCTTTGGTTGAAGTGATTAACCTCTTTTGAAGTTTCTATCTTCAATCTCCTATGAATCATGGCCTACTACGACTCTTCATATTCTGGATCTGATTATGGTGAGTACAATTCCAACTCTTATCCTGTCAATTATGATTATAATCAAGTTCCATCTTTTATGACTTACAATAGCTATGACTACAATCAACCAAATTATGGGTATGATTCAAGTTCATATTTTTCTGATCCTAGTTATTCAGATCATAGTTATAATAATAACCACCAAACCATAGCATATTCCACCACATGTTTTAGTGACCCTAAATATCTTGTGTATGATCCCAATTATGGTATGACTCAGCTTGTTCTATCTTATTCTACCTTGGAATTCAATGAACCTGCTTTTGATGAATATGATCCAACACCTTATGGTGGTGGCTATGACATTGTTGAAACCTATGGCAAGCCTCAACCACCTTCGGATAAAATCTGCTATCCGAAGGTGATTTTGGCTCCAAATCCAACTCCAATTCCGGTTCCGGTTCATGTTCCGGTTCCTTCGGAGGATGCAAAAATTGAAGAGAAAGTAATCAAGCCACAAAATGAAACCATAGATCAAATTGCTGTAGAAAAGCCAAAGTCTGAAGATAGTACTATAAAAGAAACTATTGAGGTAAATGAAGGTGAAGAATCTGAAGATAGTGACTATAGTGAGGAAAATGATGCTGAAGAGGATGATGATGATAACAACAATTCAGGATCTAGTTATGAGAAGGAAGTGACTCCTCCTCAATATCCTAGTGGATATGGATTAGAAACTGTGGATATATGTGAAAGCTTGTTTGGTTATTGGCCATGTTTGGCAAAAATGAAGAGAGAAAGTTGTTGTAATGGATCAATTCATAGAGAGAATAATTGTCAGGAGAATATGTGGAAAGGAACTGCAGATTATCTGTTTGGAAATCCATATCCATATGGTGGGAGAAGGGATGATGATTATGGAGGAGAGTTTTTCTATGGTTATGAAAGGCATTGACTATATAGTGTTGAATCATGGTGACAGAAATGAAATAATTTGCTTGAATATGTAATGAGAGAATTTGAAAGTTGTAGAGGTTGTTTTTTATGTAAGAATAAATGTAGCAATTTGATTGAAAGATGTGAAAAGAATAAATTTTCATGTTTACATATGGTCCTGGTGTAAGAAGACAGTTTGATGAATAATTTTCTGTCCATGATTTTTTTTTTTACAGAATGATACATGAAAAGAAGAACAGTAGTTCTTTTTATTTTAAAACTGGTCCAACATACTAATCTTGTGTTATGTGTTATTTTAAAACTGGTCCAACATACTAATCTTGTGTTATGTGGTGGAATGAAGTGAAATGGAATAAAATAAAATAAAATAAAATTTTACTATTTGAATTATTTAAAATTGGATGGTGTATAATGAATTGTCGTGATGTCTATTTTCATTTCATCACTTAACACCATTTTCTCTCCTTTTCCATTCACTCAATTCCGATTCGTTCAAATTTAAATATTTTATGATGGAACATGAAAAATGACGGTAAGTGATAAACTGAATAAATTACTTATTCTATCCATTCCAAAAGGGATATCACCCTCCACATCCCACAACCCTAACAAACATTTGAGCCTAACACAAGTTTGGGCAAAGTGCAAGAGTTGAGGCCGAGGTCTCATCACTCTCTACACTCGCATAGTCAATAATCTTTATCTTGACGAATATCAAATTCCTATAAAGATTTTCTATATGAAGTTCATATTATGATAATCGGGAAATGCAACCCCTACTTAATATTGGATATGTTGGAGTACAAAATTGAAGATAAAGATGAAGATGGAAAAAGAAGATATAGAAAGAGAATAGAGAGAAAATAGTTATAACAAACTTTAGAGGGAGATACTCTATTACTAAGGCATTTATTAATTACAAATTAGTTACACCAAAGTGTTTAAATATATAAAATTGAACATGACACGTAAGCAAACTATGCCACGTAAGCAGTGTTAAATCAAGCTAACAAAACAAACCAATCTCAGAAGCTAAACACACTTCTAGAACAGTCAACTCAGAAGCTTCTGCTTCTGACTAACAACGCTTTTGAATATGACTTACTTCTAACATCATCCTTAATTCATATTCACCTAACTAAATTCTACAACACCAATTTCATCTCTCAAATGGACAAAGTATTCAGTCTTGACAGCTTTCGTCAGAACATCTGTAAGTTGTTTTTGGGTGTTACAGTGTACAACTTCTAGCACTCTATTATGGACTTGATTCTTCAGAAAATAGAATTTTGTGTCAATGTGTTTGCTTCTCCCATGCAGCATTGAGTTTTTGGCAAGACTTATGACATATTTGTTGTCAATCATCAACTTCACATGCTTGCTCACCTTGATCTTTAGATCCTGTAATAAATTTATCAATCAAACAACTTGACACGCAGTCAAAGCACCTGCAATATACTCAACTTTATAAGTTGACAATGCAATCATATGTTGATTCTTGGAGCACCAAGAAATGGTACTTTCCACATATTTAAAAAAATATTCAGAAGTACTTCTTCTATCAACTCTATCTCCGCATCAATCAGAGTCTAAATAAAATATCAACTCTGAGTCAAATTTAACACTAGAAGGGAATAAAACTTCATACCTTAGAGTCCTTTTAATGTACCTTAGTATCTTGACAATAACTTGGTAATGTGACTACTTTGACTTGTTCATAAACCTATTCACCATTCTAATCGCATAGAAAATATCAGACATGATGTTATACAAATATCTCAATGAGCCAACTAACTATTTGAAAGTTATAGCATCTACATCATCATCCTCAACATCATAATCTAACTTGTGATTCGTCTCAGCAGGTGTAATTGCAGTCTTTCAATTTGTTAACTCAAATCTCTTCAAAAATTCAAGTTTATACTTCCGCTGATGCAAAATTATATCCTTTTCAAAGTACATAATATCCATCCCAAGAAAATATACCATATTTCTCATATCCTTCATCTCAAACTCATTCATCAACACCTTCTTGAACTTGAATAACTCATCAGAATAACTCCTTGTTAGTAATATGTCATTAAAATAAAGACACACTAAAATCATATTACTTCCAGAAGTGTGTTGAACATAAATGTCATACTTCATCTCACTTTCTGAATCCTTGAAGCTTGAAAATGAATCAATCTTCAAATTCCAAGCTCTAGGAGCTTATTTTAGTCCATATAAGGCTTTATGTAACATGTACACCATCTATTTTTGATTTTTTTCCACAAATCCAGGAGGTTGTGACACATATACCTCTTCCTGTAATAGACCGTTCAGAAATGTATATTTCACATCCAGATGCATTATAGGCCAATTTCTATTAGCAGCTATAGCAATCACCAATCTAATTGTTTCTTGCCTAGCTACAAGCGCAAACACCTTAAAGTAATCTAGTCCAAATTTATGTAAAAATCCTGTGGATACTAACCTTGCTTTGTGTTTGCCAATTAATCCATCTGACTTTAACTTTGTCTTGAAAATCCATCTGACGTTGATGACTTCTTCTACTTGGGAAGTTTATCCAACTCTCAACTATTATTTCTTTCTATAATCTCAAGTTCTTCTTTTATGGCCTTCAACCATACTTTCTTCTTGAGATTTTCTTCAGTACTCACTGATTTAAAGTCTACTAACATGGCACATTGAATGAATTCTTCTTCAGAGTTTACTTCAGTATCGTGCAACATGTTAAACTCCACAAATCTCCTTAGTTTTTTTTTCTGATTCTTTGTGGCCTCTAGACTTGTTCAAAGTCTTATTCCAATTTTGGAACATTATTAGATGATGCACCACCTCTAGAAGTTTGATTACCTCTAGAAGCTTCTCCTTTAAAAGGTCCTCCTTCAGAAACATGACCACCAGAGTCTTGACCCCCAAATTCTGACTCTGCCTCATCTTTAGAGTCTCCTTCTGACTCTGACTCTGACTCATCTTCAGAACCTTCATATTCTGAGGTATCTTTAGAAGTTACCTCTGTTGATGACACTACACTAGAGTTAGATTGAGACTTTCTCCAATCCCATGCTTTTGACTCCTTTACAATGACGTCTCTGTTGACTTTAAATTTATTTGTGACTGGATAATAAAGCTTGTATGCACCTCTACTATGGTACCCAATCAACAATATTACTTTGCTTCTATCATCCAATTTCTTTCTCTTAGAATTTAGAACATGTTTGTAACAAACTGAACCAAATACCTTGAAATGACTCACACTTTGCTTATCTCCAGTACACTTCTCAAAAGAATAGTTTCCTTCAGCTTCTTTGTTAGACACTTGTTGAGCACACATGCTAAAGTGGAAATAACTTCTTCCCACAAGGTGTGAGGCATGTTCTTCTCTTTCAGAATGCTCCTTGTCATATCAAGCAAAGTTCTATTTCTTCTTTCAATCAGATCATTGTGTTGAGGAGTGTATGGAGCAGTAAACTCATGCTCAATTTCGTTCTCCTCACAAAACTTTTGGAACTCTGTAGATTTATACTCACCTCCACCGTAGTTCTAAGAACTTTCAACTTCTGACCATTCTGTTTCTCAGTCTTCATCTTGAACTTCTGGAATTCACTAAATATCTCATGCTTAAACTTGATGAGTGCTACCCATGTCATTCTTGTGAAGTCATCCACAAAATACATAAAATACTTGTTTCCTCCAAGTGAAGGTACTAGAAATGGTCCACATACATCATAATGTACTACTCCCAAAGCATGCTTTGCTCTTGGGGCTACTTTTGACACAAGTGGAAATTTGGGTTGCTTGTCTTTATATCTCACATGACTTCTCAGACTTCACAATCTTAGGAATTCCATGTACTAGTTTCTTCAAATTCATATGCCCTAAGCTTCTGAAGTTCAGATACCCTAATCTATGGTGTCACAACTCAATATCACCTTCGGCGTCTTGTGCATTAAGGCATTTAGTTTCAGATGTCTCCACATTCATCTTGAATTTTCTATTGCTTCTCTGCTCAGATTGCATAATCAGTTTTTGATTGCAGCCATACAATTTCAAGAGATTGTTCTTCATGATAACTAAGAAACCTTTCTATATGAGCTAACCTACACTCATCATATTTCTCTTCATGCAAGGAACATACCAAACATCCTTGATCATAATTGTAAGTGTTTAGTTATTGGCATGTATTTTTGGTAAAACCAGGTGTGTGAATGTCATGACTAATGTCATAACATTCTGGGTTATTAGGTACTTTATGCAGAAAAAGAATGGCATACAGTAGCTGCTCTTTATGAGTGTGTATCTGAGAATTTTGCAATGATCACATTTATTACATTCTACAAAAATCAGTAAACAGGATTCCTGTTGTCATAACCAATGTTAAGACATCCTGTACTGATCTAACAGTTATGCAGTTTGGTTAATTCTGAGATTTTTCAGGAATTTGGTTCATACATTCCAGAACAGAATCTCACGTGGACTTTAGGTTAACTTAGCTCAACCCTAATCTGGTTGATAAAGTCTTGTGACCAAGTCTTGAGGTTAACCCTAATTAACCCTAGCTTTTCATGGAAGCCCTAACTGAAGAAACAACTGCATATATATATTCAACAGGAAGGTTGTTGGGAAAATCAACTCTTTGACAGAAGATCAACTAGGGGCTGTATAGTTTTAACTACTGTAATCCAAGCAAGTATCATTGTGATAAGTGACTTGGAGTAGGTTTTGATTGTAAGGGTTGTGTATCACTCAAAGCTTTGAAGCACGAGTGTTTGTGTCACTTGATTAAAGCTTTGAAGCAAGGTCAAGTTAGGTTTATGTATCACTCAAAGCTTTGAAGCACGAGTGTTTGTGTTACTTGATTAAAAGCTGTGAAGCATAATCAAGTGTATGTTCTGAAGAGTGTCTTCATTATTTCATTAGTCAATTGTTTAGTATCACTGCTGTGATTGAGGGGGAGTGAGTAGGAACTCAGGTTTAAGTTGAACTTAGATT